GCACTCTACCATTTGAGCCACAGTGCCACTTCTGACATTTTCTGATTATGTGGTGCTGAGGAATCGAACCCAGGGCCTCATACATGCAAGGCAAACACTCTACCACTGAACCACCTTCCCAGCCCCAATGTAATTTTTTTTTTGTCAGTCATGGGGCTTGAACTCTGGGCCTGGGCACTGTCCCTCAGCTCTTCAGCTCAAAGCTAGCACTCTACCACTTGAGCCACAGCACTACTTCGTTTTCTGAGTGGTTTATTGGAGATAAGAGTCTCACGAACTTTCCTGCCCAGTCTGGCTTTGAACCATGATCCTCAATTTTAGCCTCCTGAGTAGCTAGGATTATAGGCATGAGCCACTAGCCCCCAGGCCCAGTATCATTTTGATACTAAGGTTGGGGTGTGTTAGTAGCATCTCAAATAGAGCCCTAGTCAAATTTTTCTCCAAAGTCAGATGTAAAAGCCACCAGGACTTTTTCTGTAATTCCATTTTGTACAGAAGACAAATGTCCAAGAATCTTTGAAAGTTTAGAATGCAATATTAGTGATATTATTTTAAATTCTATTAGTTTATTTTACCTTTTCTCCAGGACTTATAGTTGTTAGGTTGCTTATTAGTCATAGCTTTTAGGTCTTTTGAGTCACTGTAGGAGGACCAGAGAGAAAAGTTAATTGGAAACTAGGAGTGGAAAATTAGTAATTATTGGTGGGTAGTTAACAAGTGATATGTAAAAAGTGATAAGTAATGTTTATGGTCTAATTTTCTTTTTCTCTTTGTTGGTTGTGGGGCCTGAACTCAAGGCTAGTGCTCTACCACTTAAGTCACAGTGACACTTCCAGCTTTTTCTGTTTATGTGGTGCTGAGGAATCAAACCCAGGGCCTCATGCATGCAAGGCAAGCACTCTACCACTGGTCACCTTTCCAGCCCCTATGGTCTAATTTTCTATCTCCCTTTAGGAGTCCAATTATGTATGTGGTGGCCTGTAATCCTAGCTATTCTGGGGGCTGAGATCTAAGGATCAGCCCAGGTAGAAAAATCTGTGAGCCTCCTATCTCTAGTTAATTGCCAAACAAAACAAAACAAACAAAACAACCTGAAGTGGAGCTGTGGGTCAAGTGTTAGAGTGATAGACTTGAGCAGATGAAGTTCAGGAACAGCTTCCATGCCTTGAGTTCAAGCCCCAGGGCTGGTACTCCCCCCCCCCATGCTTGCAAATGCGCGCGCACACACACACACACACACACACACACACAAGTCCATTTGACCAGATATTCTCTCTAGTATAACAATGAAAATATAGCTTAATTTACCTTTCACAAACCAGCATCTTTGGAGCAAAATCCTTAAGGACAAATGATGGAAAATGATGCATGGTATCTAGGAAGTAGAAAAGAGGAAGAAACACAAGTAGTAAGCAGTTTTATATTGTTACAAAGATGACAAACTGGCTGCAGAAATTTTAGTATCCTGTCCATGGTTGTTACTGGCTGCTCTGGCAGGGACTACCTACCTATTTCCCTTGCACTTATGATCATGTGACCAGGTTTGTCAATGGAATATGAATGAAAAGTATTTTCCTCTGGGCTGGGATAGCTAAAAGGCAATTATACTTTTTCCACTTGCCTTTTGGAAACAAAAATGTGAAACACTGACAGCCACCAAGATCACTGATAGCTACAAGAAGAGTCCATGTCTTTAATCACTAACATACAACCAAATTTTAATTTGATAAAATGATATCAACTTGGAGTTTATGTGTTAAAAGAGCCGATATTATGATAATATAGTTATTTGTTTTCTGGAGGAACTGTAGTTTGAGCTCAAGTCCTACACACTTGCTAAGCAAGTGCTTTACCACACACCATACTCCCAGAATAGCCATTTTCTATTAAGATTGTGAGGCAGCCTTTCAGAGAGGAGGAAGATGTATATGAAAAGTAACTGCCTTAAAAAATTGTTCTTGTGCTATTCTGAGGCTTGAACTCAGGGCCTCAAGCTTTTGCCTCGAGTTCTTTGCTCAAGGCCAATGATCTACCACTTGAGCCACTCCTGCACTTCTGGCTTTTTGCTGGTTAATTGGAGATTAAGAGTCTCATGGACTTTTCTGCTCCAGCTAGCTTCTAAACTCAAACCTTGATCCTCAGTTCTCAGCCAGCTGAGAGAAGTAACTTTCTTTAAGGTAAGTGAGCATAGCAGTACATAGATTTGACTGAAAGCCAGTGAGATATTCATTATATAATGCTGCATCTTAGGGACAGGTTATCACTTGAGATAAGCTAAATTCAAATCTTTGATGCAAATTTCAGTTTGTGTCAGCATTTTTTTTTTGTGGTAGGGAAGTAACAAGATATTGGTTGTTAAGATTATCTTAATTGTTTTAAAGTTACATTCCTCCCCCCCAACCTTTCCAGAGACACAGATGAAATTCTTAGATGTACTAATTCAGTTTTTTTAGTGAAGGATTTTTATGTGAAGAGCATGAAGACCACACAAGGCTGTTACTTGGTATCTATTAAACTGTAAAGGCTTAGGATTCACGTCTTCATTCATTTGTGATTATGTTCACAGTTTCACCCTTGCTCACCTACATTCCAGACATCGGGGTCAGGAATTTGATTTGTAGTATTAGGAAGTTCCTCATTTGATTCCAAACTAGAGCAAGTAAACTTTGGAAGATTAAATGGTTCTGAAACAAAGTGAAACAAAAAGTGATAGAAGTAATTCTTTGTATTGGGTTAAGATACATAGGAAGCATCCTACATCTCCACTGATGTCATTTACCTGCATCTTAATGCAAAACTTACCATCATCCACAGAAGTTCTGTTGACACAGTTAGCCTCGTGCTCCTTGAGCCTTTTGATTGGGACCACATGACAAGCGTTATATTTGCAGTTAGCCATCTTTTTAGCTATTTTCGGATTTTTCTAGAAGGAAAATGTTCATATTGGATTTTGACTGTATTACACCCACTACTCCAATCTCTGGAAATTATGGAGGTACCATCATGAAGAATTGCTAGGTCTTTTCTATACAAGATCAGAAGGTTGTGTGTGTGTGTCTGTGTGTGTGTGTGTCTCTGTGTGTGTGTGTGTCTCTGTGTGTGTGTGTGTCTCTGTGTGTGTCTCTGTGTGTGTGTGTGTCTCTGTGTGTGTGTGTGTCTCTGTGTGTGTGTGTGTCTCTGTGTGTGTGTGTG